GGATGTTGAAGTTGTGAATTGACAAATAAATCAGGGCACAAAAAAGCCTCCTGGCTTCTCTGACATTTTTATTCTTCTGATCTTATCCTGGGCTTAAGCTTTATATACCAGTACACTTGTACATCAGAGATTTAATGTTAACTTTATGTACAGATTGTTTGTTTGTTTTCATAAGGTACATTTTGAACTACCTTCGCAATGGTGACCTTCTTTGTCCAGAGGACAGAACAGTTCGAAAAGAACTGCTTGCAGAGGCTACGTTTTACCAAGTTCAAGGTATTATTAATCATTTGAAGGAGAAGATGTCGGCATTTGAGTGCTCCTCGATAATAGAGACTGAAAATCACCACTCAGCTCTCATATCTTGGCTTCCTCCATACGCTACCTGTTCTCTGTTGTTCCGAGCTTCTGATGATGGAAAAACACCTGTCGACTTTCATCGTTGCTGTGATAACAAAGGTCCTACTCTTGTGCTGATAAAAAGTGAAGAATACATCTTTGGTGGTTACACAGTACAATCCTGGGACTCAGGTACTTCAGTCTGAACAGTGCACTTTCATTGGCCTATGCATTTTATAGATGGCCAATTAAACTTTGGTTACATAACACATACTCAGCTTATGGATGGTTGTGTAGTTGTTTTGGAGGAAGCTACAGTATACATTAAAAACATGTAGACTTCCACCGTTCAGTTCCTGAAAATATCTAGACTGCGTGCAGTCTATCTTTTCCTTGAAAATCTGTGGGGAAGAAATCAAAACAAATTAGCGTCCAAGTGTAACTGTGAGCATAACGTGTCACCCACGCTACTAGTGGCTCATGACATTGGCGCTCACCCCTCGCATGTGATGTTCATTGTCATGCTCGCATGCCTACTTGTTTTGCGTTCTTACCCACAGATTTTCGAGGAAGAGAGAGACTGCTCATAGTCTAGAAAATATCCATACCCCACCTCTAACTCCCCCCTCCCCTCCCCTAACCTTGAAAGATCATTAGAAATTTCGAAGTTATGGGGGTTGTAAACAAAATCAATAAATATTTCAAAAGGAAAGTATGAAACTAAGCTCAAATTTCCAGAAAGATAGGAAGGGGGTTAGATCAAAAATCTTCTAAGTGGGGTGGTGTGGGTATTTTATGCCACAACACATGCACCCTTTTTTATTACTAGGAAACAGAAAACAGATAGTTCCTCACATAGAATAGAAACTTACAATAAAAAATTATTACAATTTAAGAACCGCAGCTGATAGGAAGCTGACCAGTTGGCTATAAATTATATATACATTATGGGACAATCAAAGAGTTCAATTCAGGACTCTGAGCCAAACAAATCTAGCTTAGTGGGTGGAGGAGTTGAACAGGGGGTCTCTACATCTCTAAGTCACATAGCCAATTGTAATCTCAAAAAACAAGCATACAAATTTTCTGCTTGTTTCCTTCACTTGATAGGTAGCTCCACCAAAGCTATACCAGACAGCCAATCTTTTCTGTTCACACTGGTTAATCCTTCTGGAAATGAACCAGTCAAGANGCTACTAGTGGCTCGCGTCATTGCCACTCACCACTCGCATGTGATGCTCACCGTCATGCTTGCATGCTTACTTGTTTTGCATTCTTACCCACAGATTTTCGAGGAAGAGAGAGACTGCTCGTAGTCTAGAAAATATGCATACCCCACCTCGAACTCCTCCTTCCCCCAACCTTGGAAGATCATTAGAAATTTTGAAGTTATGGGGGTTGTAAACAAAATCAATAAATATTTTAAAAGGAAAGTATGAAACTAAGCTCAAATTTCCAGAAAGGTAGGATGGGGATTAGACCAAAAATCTTCTAAGGTGGGTGGTGTGGGTATTTTATGCCAGAACACATGCATGCTTTTTTATTACTAGGAAACAGAAAATGGTTGCTTCTTCACATAGATTATTGTTATTACAATTTAAGAATCACAGCTGATAGGAAGCTGATCAGTTGGCTATTATTTTTATGTACATTATGGGACAATCAAAGAGTTCAATTCAGGAATCTGAGCCAAACAAATCTAGCTATTAGTTGCTGGAGGAGTTGAACAGGGGGTCTCTACATCTCTAAATCACGTAGCCAATAATTGTTATCTCGAAAAGCAAGTCTTTGGAAGCATACAAATTTTCTGCTTGTTTCCTTCACTTGATAGGTAGCTCCACCAAAGCTATACCAGACAGCCAATCTTTCCTGTTCACACTGGTTAATCCTTCTGGAAATGAACCAGTCAAGATGGCTCCAAAACCAGGTGCAAGTATACTGTGTAATAGCAATTTGGGGCCAACCCTTGGCACAACACAGTACTACGACCTTCTGGTGTGGAGTGTGAGCAGCACTAATGATAGCGTTTCAAGTCACCTTGATCTAGGGCATGGCTTTGTGTGTCCTGATAGCATTAATAAGAATTCTTATTTCACAGGCAGAAACCCATTTGAAATCAGTGAACTGGAAGTATTTCAAGTTAACTTGTAGAATCAGTTTAATCTTGCTTTTGTTGAATAACAAAATTCCTCTATGCCACATTACACGGCAGTGTAACCAGGAAACCATTTTAAACATAGTTTTTTGTTAGCTCTTTAGCCATGACGGTGTCATTGATTCCTGGGTATTAATTTGGCACCCCCCCCCCCTTTTCCAGTATGCTGGCCACCCTCAATTAAACAGTCCTCAAGCCCTGTTTCCATAAGTTCTCTCTCTTCTTTAAACTGATTGAAAAAAATACCATGTAAATGTAAAAAAATGTTACTTTCCATAAGCCACTGAAAAGGCAGAAAATAAAGTCAGTGTAGGTTCTCTAAAATAAAACTGTGTAGGACCTGTATTATGCGCTCCATAATTCCCTACCTCTCTAGATAGCCAGAGAAAATAAAACACAGTTGTTGTTTTCGCTGTTCTAACATGTTTACACGTAAAAGTATAAATGCCGCGTGCATATTTAAAGATGCTTCGGGAGGGGAGTATAGTGTGGCAGGTCTCTTGTAAACGCTTTTTTGTGTGTATTTAACATCAACGTAGTTAAAGCTAAAAAAAATCATCAGCTTTTCTTTAACACACAAATATGAGCCACTGAACGTAAGGCGACGTTGTGTTTTTTTTCCTAAGAATACACGAATTAATTATGTCTGAACAGATCTGTCTCGCTATCGTTAAGCAACCTATTGGCTGATTATCCAGTAATAATGGCCCATGAATTTACTGAGTTCTCACATTACTATCGTCTAATCATTGGTAAACGAAAGAAGGATGAGAAAAATCTTTTGGTGGTCTTCTCCGTTGCGTTGCAGTTTATTTCTGTCTTTTAATCGACAGAAAAGCTAAAAGTGATCTAGCGGTGCTCTGAATATGCTAAGAATGACCAAAAGAGAAGTTAAGACAAAAGTCTAAGATATCGGGTTCATTGTGACTCAGAGTAATATTTCGTGCTAATGGCATTTGCACTGAAGTAAAACTAATGGAGAAACTACGGACTGGTCTGAACGGTGGAAAACATTTCTACGTTTCTAAAGTATTTCATTCAATCTCCTGGCCGTGCCAGACCATACCTTTCAGATTTTCGATTTCAGACCTCGCACCAGATGGGTCATAGTTACCAGCAGGTGACTGTGTATTTAGCATTCACAATGGCCGCCACGAAAGAAAAATAATAAGAGTCAATAGATAACAGGTAAGATCATATTTTATTCGTCCTACTTTGACCCTACTTTCATTTGAGGACTTCCATTCTCGTCCCCAGAGTCGCCTGTCCCTCTCAGCCGGGGCGGGGGGGGCGGGGGGGGGCTTGACCCTAGAAAAAGCTGGTCTACAGACACGTGATTTGATTGGCTAAATTCGTGGACTAAGATTTTCGCCAACCAAACACTGGGGTGCTTATCATTATGCATAGTCTTCTCCGCAGCTTTTTTTTTTGGAACTACACGCAACGTTCCCCTCAAAGGAACGGCTGCTCAAATTCTTTGGGGGAGCGTTGCGTGACATCCCAAAAACGGCTGTGGAGGAGACTACAAAATACCAACTTCGACCGGTCAAAGTGGACCACCTCTACAGGTGGTCCCGAATTTTCCGGTTGGACCGAACCGAAACAGACCTCTCCATTTGACTTCGGACTGAAATTTCCGGAATTTTTGGCATAATGAATTCCTTCCGAAGATATCCACTGGATATACAGTGGAACCTCGATATGATGAAGGGCTTAGGGACTGGCAAAATATTGCTTCGTTGTATCAACGTTCTTTTCCATATACGGTATTTTACTATTACTTAGCTCTTATTAAACGAGCAGGAGGTCTGTATCCACGACCGAGGTCAAGATTCTCCCATACAGACCGACTAAGCTCGGTTAATTAGATGTTTATTATATGGCGCAAACAAGAACAATTTAATTCGTTCAATGCAACCGGTTTGTACTAACTGACATTTTAATTTGCTTGCGAACGGCAATGGGCTGAATTTAATTCTGCCAAAGTTTGCTCGTCCTCTTAATTTTTTTTCTCATCAGGCTTTTTGGCACTTTTATAAATAAATATTGTTAGAAAAGATCCTACGTTGGCAGCGTTTATCGAATACGGTCCCTTGCAGTTTCTAGTTTCTCAATATTTTTGCATTTTAGTTCTAGATCGGGAAAATCTAGATCGCTTTTAATATCGATTTCAGCTAATCAAATTCGTGAATTCAGTACTTCCCAGTCCTTGTGAGACACAGCCATATAATAACGGGGCCAGAAAAATCGTTCGTTATACTGATGACTGTAGTGAAACTCTTGGCCTCCCCATACTCGTGCCAAGGCTCTGCCGGCCATGGGCTCGAAAAGCTGGCCGCTGGCTAGCTGGATCGAGGCTCGTTTATTTTCTTTTTACACTGCCTCTAGTGTCCCGGAAGTACGAAGTAACGTCCAAACTGTTTTAAATCGCTGATTCACGGATATGGCAACTAGACAAGAAGAAGAGCTGAGCTTATTTGAGTTAGCCAGTACCAAATTAGCAGACGCACAGAAGCTTATGGCAGAAGCTCGCGACTTACTCAAGCAAGACCTCAACAATGCAAGACAAGAAAAGTCAGCCATCGAAGAAATCACAAAAACCTTGAATGAAGTGCACTTTGCTAGCACGATCAAGTTGAACGTTGGCGGTAAGATTTATAAAACAACACTGGACACTCTGAGAAAGGATCCGGATTCCATGCTGTGTGCGATGTTTTCTGGAAGGTTCGAGTTAAAAGCGGACGAAGACGATGGAGCATATTTTATCGACCGCGATGGCAAACTCTTCCGGTAAGCCAGCACTAAATCAACTATTAGTAGTTTTCATAATAATACAGAACGCTTTAAACCATCGAATTATACGCTAGCATTTATCATTTTCCCTTTGGCGTTTCTAACGGAGCTATGACCACAAGGAAATCTGAGCTGCAGTCTGTCGTGGATAAGGTAAAATAGCTTGATGAACCCAACTTAAATATGAACAAATTTGTCAAAAGTAATATCTGGGCCGTCACGCAATGGGAAAGATGCGTAACGGTTGTTGCGTGATACTCCAAAACACAGATAACTATCAATCACAAATGGCATCAACTTTCTGGGGCGGATCCAGGATTTATCAAGGGCATTTGGAAGGGGGGAGGGCGGGGGGAGGNTGACTCAGAAATAGCTTGAGGGAGAATTACCTTGGGAAAACAGATTATATGGGGGATTGACTCTCTTACCCATCTGCCTCTCTTGGTTTATTATAATAGTTTTATAATTTCCTTCGTAAGAGCTTTGGTGACATAGTTTTACTACTTTTGTTTTATTTTCTTTCATAGCAAGTTCTTGGAAAGCGATCCCAGACAGCCAATCCTTCCTGTTTACACTGGTTAATCCTTCTGGAAATGAACCGATGAAGATAACTCCAAAACCAGGTGCAGGTGCAGCTATACGGTGCAGGAGTGACGCGGGACCAACCTTTGGCAACTCAGAATATTACGACCTTCAAGTGTGGCTGAGAAATGGCGATGACCCTGTTCGTTACACTTCGAATCTTGACCTAGGTTATGGCTTTACATGTCCTGAAAACGTTAATGGGTACACTTATTTCACGAGAGTGAGCCCATATGAAGTCAGTGAACTGGAAGTGTTTAGAGTTAACCTGTAGAACTACTTCTGACTCGTTTTGTTAAAAAACGTGTTAATTAATAAGGGTTTTTAAATATGTATACAATGTATAATGTTTCAATAACAATAGACAGTGATAGGACTATTTTTTGATCCCCCTTTAGGAGAGGGGCTTTTGTTAAGAAAGCTGAGAGTGAAATTTTAACTTTCAAGCATTAGTTTAGAAAGACGTTACAATGCTCAACAAATCAGTCAATAAGTTGTTTACTCATTTAGTATTCTTGAAATTAAACAAGAGAAATCATAAGTGTTAAAAGGGTGGTCTGGACATCTGATCTTTAGACTGT